CTCCTAACAACAAGGTTGCCTGTTTGAGATGGGGGGCTACACCCACCTGCAACAATTTGAACACAGCACCTTGAGCTAAGTGGCGTGACTAGACTTGGAGCTGAGCTAGCTGCGCCCTCCACAACTAAGATTGAAGGACAACAACTTGGCTGCTCCCCTTCCCCAATTCCCCAACACTGTTCCCCTCCCCCATTTCCCCCCATCTAAATAAATAAATAAATAAATAAATAAATAAATAAATAAATAAATAGAATCTTATCAGCCAAATTCACTTTGTGAGCTTTGCTTGGAACTTGATTTAAACTAACTAAAAAAATGACATTTTTCTTTTTGTGAAAATCAAGGAGAAGTATCACCTACTTACTAGGAATGCACAGTGAAGTGATGTTGTGTGAGAAAGAAAACTGGAGGAAGGAATAGATGAAATAAGAATGACACAAAGTTAGTAACTGTTGAAGCTGGGTGATGCACAGGAAAGGGTTTGTTGTTATCATTCCCTCCAGTTCTACGTATGTTTTCCACAGTAAAGGCCGAAAAGGTAGGGAGACAGGTGCTACTGGATCCCAACAGCAGGTGCATCCTTGAGGCTTCTCCTCTCCTTTCCAGCTGAGGTTTCTGCTCTGGCCCGCTTGGATGAGAGCTTTCCACTTTTCCTGTAAATTGTATCTTAAAATTCTTACTTTACATGATGTTTAAAAATGTTGCTATCATACCCCTGGCTACTCTAAAGTGAAAATGCAGAGGTAACTAATTTATAGACTTTAGTAATGATTGCTTTCTATGGAAAAGGAAATATTGGCTTCAAAAATACACAAAGGCATCTGGAAGCTGCTCTAAGAACGCCAAAATTTCAGACTACTCACTACATGTTTATACACACAACTCTGGACCGACACAACAAAATTAGATGCCAAAAATTCTGTATGGAGACATCTGAAGAAGCAACAGCGAGAGTTAGAAATAGAAAAAAGGAGCTAGAATGCTGGCATCCAACACATGCACTGACTCATGCTTTGTCTAAACTAAGCAAGTTTGAACTTGGGGGAAGTGTTAAACCAGAGATATGAATCAGAGTGAGGCAAGCTATAAAGCTAGGGGTAGGAGAGCAAGCTGATTCACGCCAACAGTCATGTCGAATGCCTGCCCGCCAACTTAACAGAACACCACCAATGCTGGGACGGACAGATGCACACCATACCCAGAGCTGGCAAACGACTCCGGTGTGAAACAACAGGAGGTTTGCCTTGCCAATCAGGGAGGTGCAGTGATGAGGGAGGAGAGGATTTGTTTTGTTTTGAAGATTAATTTTTTAGGCTTTGTTTTGTTTTGTTTTTCGAAACTGACAAACTACCCAAACATAAATGCCTGCTTAGTCCAGGGGTAACTGCAGAAAGATGCACTGTGAATTACCAAACCAAGCGGGTTAGTGAATGGACACACACAGGTAAAAAGCAAAGGTCACTACTGCAATAGGGCATCCAAGCTCTATTTTCAGGCAGCTTTTACTGCCTTACAGTGTGCCTATCTATCCAAAGATGTCTTTAAATACGTGGTTTAAACTGATATTTCATACAGTTAAATCTTTTAAATCTTAGAGAACAGAAATAAGACCACAGAAAACCTTTTATCTCCAGTCACGTATAACTTGAGAATTTAAAGGCTCACGATTCACCTACCTTTAAATTTCCATGAGCATTTTCAAGTTCAATTGAGCTCACAGGCTGAATTTTAAGGAGGGAAATGTGTTCAAGCTTTACCAAAAAATGAGCTGACCACAGAGAAAATGCTTTCCCACATTCACCATCCTGTTTTTGCCCAAGACCATCTCTCCTTTTTATTTTTCAACTGAGAATATAAATTTTATTACATTGTACATACCCTTTCAATAACATGAACAAAATATTCTGTTGGGTGCAGATGTATTCAACAGTAGGAGTTCTTGTACCAATTTGTCTTCTGAGAATATTGTTGAAAATTTGAGCCACATCTTTTTTGCCCTATTAGGAATACAATCATTAAAATATTTACCTGACTAAACATCAAAAAGCCCATCCACCCTCCCAAATAAACTTTAATCAAGGCATTGCATATTTATAATTATGACTAAATATCTGACTTTAAAACGTTCACAGACATTCAATTTTCTTTATTTCTTTATAACTTCAAATTCTAAGTTTTAATAGTATACTATTTTGAACCTGAGCAATGTGTGGGCAAAGTGAAATCTCACTATATATAATTTCAACCATTTTTAACTCTCAGAATCATGCTGACTGAAATATGAAAAGCAAACCTCGCTATCTGCTTATAATGTTCAGGGATCTGACTCCCACCCAAATGGAACAAGCAGCCTCAAATAAGATGCTGGTGTTGTAAACACTACACATACGGGATGTGATAAAAAAATACTGTGCCTGTTTAAATAAAAAAACATTTATTACAGTAAAAGACACATTGCCACTGATCCCCCTCAAAATACTCCCCTCACTTTGAACACGCTTATCCCATCATTCTTTCCACTTTCTGAAGTGGTTCTGGAAGTCCTCTTTTGTGAGTGTCTTTAGTGGCGCTGTCATGGCTGCCTTGATGTCCTGAATTGATTCAAAACATTTACCTTTCATGGTCATTTTGACTTTGGGGAAGAGCCAGAAGTCAAACGGTGCCAGATCCAGTTAATAAGGTGGATGAGGACATACTGAAATGTTTTTGACAGAAATTGCCAGATCAGAATCGATGTGTGACACGGAGCATTGTCACGATGGAGGATGAAACCGTTTGCCCATTTCTCAGACCGTTTTCTATGCACATCGTTGCTTAAACACTCGTAAAGACACTCACGAAAGAGGACTTCTAGAACTGCTTCAGAAAGTGGCAAGAATGATGGGATGAGTTTGTTCGAAGCGAGGGGGAGTATTTTGAGGGGGATCAATGGCAATGTGTCTTTTACTGTAATACATTTTGCTTTTAATTTAAACATTCATTGTATTTTTTGATCACACCTCATCCTTTCTTTTTATAGTGATGGAAGGAGAAACTGTGCTGCTAGTATAATACAAATGAAAGAATTCTGTAAGAAGCTGAGCTTTAAACCAGGTCTACTTAGGCAAGACTTTATATAGGTTAACAACAAAGGTGCTAAATATCACATGATGTAATAGTTCAGGTTAGCATTAGACTGCTATACTTGACTGAACTAAACACATAGACATTACTACTATGCAGTGAACCTCATAATCGGAAAGCTGCATAAGAAATTAACAAATGCAGAACTGGACCCCAAGAGATGTTTGAGAACGGCCACTTGTTAAGGGGCTGAAAAGCCTGCAGGAGGCTGAGTGAGACGACAGGAATCACCCCGGGGTCCACGCTGGGTCAGAGGAGCTGTAACAAGAATCTCTAAGAACCTGTCTCAAAGGGACACACTTCTTTTAAATGTATGTCTCTAAAGTCCCAAATGAATGTTAAACTCAGTGTCCAGGTTGGGGATGGGGTGGCTACACCAAGGAGATGGAACCGGAAACAGTGCATCCCAACTTTGCAGAGGAAATAACAAATTGTTGTTGAAATTTGATACACCATTAAAAATATATGAATTCGACTATATAAATGGAAATATCATAGTTTTACTTGTTCTACAGGATAGAAATAAATTTCTATTCTCTTTTATTATCATTATTATGTTTGAGTAACCTATGAACCACACCCTTCCATTCCTCTCCAATACTGAATCTGCCTACATGTCTGCCATTTTCTCCCCTGGTTTTTCAAGCACCTGCACAGACATCCAATCCGTCTGGATGGTAAACACTGGGGCTTAAAAAGAGCACACCCATGATGAAGAATCAAAGGCCCGTGACCATGCCAGAGCCCTTCATTACCATATACATACACGCTTCTCTGACTGGTTTATTCAGACTGGCATAAAGGATCATTATTCTCACCGTTAAATTCACTAAATATCTAACTAACATGGCATGATCCGGCTGGATAAGCTTGGGCAACAATCTCAAATGCCTACCAGTGCCGGGCAGGAGAAGCAAATGGGTAAAGCAAGGCTTGAGACAGAAAAGTCAGCTGCACTGTCTGCAGCACACCCACGTGTGGCTCTCCTGTGTCACAAGGCAGGTGAGACTCTGCTCCAGCTGACGGGCCAGGTAGGACTACAGGCTTGATGTTGCCAGTCAAACTTTCAAAAGAAGCCAGAAACTCAAAACTGTGTATAAAATCTCCTGCTACTTAAAAGTTACCCTAATTTAAACATTTAAAAGCAGTGCCACACAAAACACATATGATCTCTGATGTAATGAGTTCCCAACAGGTAAAAACAAAACCCAAAAAACTTAACTGGATGTTCTCTAAGATCTCATCTGCCTCTGAAATTCTAATATTCTATGGTCTTTTATTCCTTGACTGTTTATTCCTTGAGAGCCAAGGACCAGTGAATCTCATAAAACAGCAACTGCTTAAAAATACTCAATAATGAATGAAAGGGCATAACGAACACCTAAGAAAATTTGCAGATGATGTGCTGAAACGGGGAGAAAGTCTGGCCTAAGGCTGACATGCCCTTGAGTCCCTGCCCTGGGTCTGCTGATCAGGCAGGCAGGCAGCTTGGCTATGCTTACAGGTCAGTAACTCTAAGCCGAGAGCTAGACAAGAATCTTAAGATGTTTCAAAGGAGACAACACTTGGAAAGGGACCGTGAATGGGGTAGTTTTTGAAAAAAAGAAACTGATGTCTTACCTCAAAGTCAATGAGCTGTAAATCAGCTACCAGGGTGCTCAGGAGCCCACTGTTATATAGTTCTTGGGCGAGCTGTGCCACTGCTTCGGTCTGCGGCTCCTTCTCATTTGTGCCATAGAGAATTTCTTTCATGGCAACCAGATTTTTGGAAACTTCTTCTGTAGCCTGATTTTTGGGGGGGAGGAGAAAAACAATTCATCTTAACAAACATATATAACACATCTACACCTGTGAAGTACTTTCTCTTTGTATTGTATACCCACAGACCTACACGTACGCACAAGGCACCAAGGCAGACAAGCCCCATCCCTGCCCTCGGGAGCCTGACGCTGTGCGTGTGTACACATGTGCGGACCGACATGCATGCTCGAGAAGGAAGACCAGCCGGGTCATAACATGGACACTGAACACTGAAAACAGTATTACGGTAGAAACAAGACAGGGAGAAAGGTTCAATTCTGCATCACGTGGGAGGGAAGTGATGTACCTGAGCTGCCCCTGAGAATGGAGGCACTGACAAGCAAGAGCTAGGGAAAAGGCGACTGAGGGTAAAGAAATGGCATGAGCCAGGGGTGAGGGAGACGGGGTCTGATGGAGAAAAGCTGTGAAGGGAATACGGGAGCGACAGCAGAAAATGAAGCTGGAAAAGGCTTTGAATTCAAAGGTAAAGTGTTAGCAATAAATAAAACGTCACCAAAGAGCTTCCACTTTTAGCTAAGATGGAAGAACGGGCCAGATTTACCTTTTCCCTTAAAAAAAAAAAGGCTAAAAAATAGAAGAAAATATAGGACACGGTGAGGGTTAAACTCTGAACTTCAGGCAGCACAGGACAGTGGTTCCTGAGAGAAAGGAAACAAATGAAGTGAACCTTCCAACTGTCCTAGCTTGCTGCCTGGAGAGAATTCCCAGCCATATCACAGGCAGGGGGAAGCCACGATGAAGGTGGTCTCCAAGAGCTGAGCTGACAGGGCTGGGGCTACGCGGAGGCCAGGCAGACTGGACTTCTCAGGGCAGACACCAGAGGGCAGAGCTCCACGGAGGAGGTGTCCGAGATCTGCGCATCCGCACGGCTCGCTGGCTTCTTCAGCTGAACGCTAACAGGCACACACACGAAGAAAGCGGCCGAGGCCAGGAAACAGCACCACGGAGCTCCCAGAGGCTGAGCATCACCCTGAGGAATTCCTCACATCCACAGGGCACAAGGCAGAGCACTCGAAGGGTTCTGTCTCGGTCATACAAAATTAGCCCAAGACTAAAGCCTGCTCTGGCTCCACCCAACAAAGCTTAAGTCTGAAAATAATAAAAACTGGAAAACACAACCAATACTGAGGAGAAAAACCAATCAACAGAAACAGCCCTGCCGCTGACACAGGTGGTAGAATAAATAAGGACGTTCAAGTTACTGTAACTATAGTCAGTGTGTTCAGACAAAAAAGGAATATGTTAAGTAAAGGTATGTAAGACATTTTAAGAAGGACCCAAATCAAATACTTAGAAATAAAACCGCAATGTCTGAAATAAAAATTACACTGAATTAACAGCAGATTAGACACTGCAGAAGAAATCGTTGGTAAACATGAAGACAGAGCAATAAAAACTATCCAAAATGAAACACAGAAAAGGTGGGGAGAGCATGTCAGTGAGTTACAGGATGACTGTAAGCAGTCTAATATATGTGGAACTGCAGACCCCAAATGAGGGGGAAGCCTAGATAAAATATATGAAGACATAATGGCTGAAAAATTACCAAATTTGATGAAAACTATAATCTCATGGAACAAAGAAGTTTTTTAAAAATCCTAAGCACAAGAAACAGGAAGAAAACTACACCAAGGCATGGAAAAATCCAATTACTTTAATTCAGTGAAGATGAAATTTTAAAAGCAACCAGAGGGAAAAAACATTACAGACCCAAAAATAAATAAATAAATAAATAAATAAATAAATAGATAGATAGATAGATACATCAAAGAATGACAACAGACTTCTTGACAGAAAAGAAGTCAAAAGACAGTGTAGAAATATCATTCAAGTTCTGGAAACAAAACAAAACTGTCCTCTTAGAATTCTATACCTAGTGGAAATATTAAAAAACGAAGCTGAATAAAGAGTTGTTGAGACACAGAAAAGCTGGAAGACTGTCACCAGCAGACCTGCATTACAGGGAACATTTAAGTAAGTCCTACAGGCAGAAAGGAAATGATTTACGATGAAGATCTGCATATGCACAAAGGAGTGAAGAGCACGGCAATACTAATGTGGGTAAATAGCAAGTATTTCCCCCCTATTATTTTTTTAAATGTCTTTCAAAGATAATTGGCTGTTTAAAGCATAAATAGCTATGTATTCTGGGGTTATGACATGTAGAATAGAACAAAAATATGTGACAACCATGGCTCAAAGGTGGGTCATGGAGTATAGTGCTGTAAGGCTCTCATACATGAAGCAGAATAATATTTCTTGAAGATAGACTGCAATAAGTTAAAGATATATACTGTAAGTCCTAAAGGCACCACTACAAAAGCAAAACAGAGTTATAGCTAATAAACCAACAAGAGACTTGAGCAGAGTATTAAAGATATGTGGAAAACATAAGGCTATAAAAAGCTATGTAAATGGAAGTAGTTATGAACAGAAATGTACTTCAGGGAGACGATTCAGCATAGATGCACAGGACATAAGCACTTAATGGTACCTAAAGAATCATCTAGTTCCACGGTGCTCCCTTCTACAGCTGTCTACGCTCCTCACCAGTGATCACACATTGCTTCACCTTAAACACTTGCAGTGTCCAGTAATGCAGTATTATTAGACTTCACAATCAGGTAGCTGTTAGAAAATGTATGAGACAAACATTGCCTCACTGTAGTGTCGGCCGGTCCTGGGCTGCACTAACCCCTCTTCCACATACAGGCTCCTGTTTGAAGGGAGCTGTCTGTCTTCCCCAGAAAACCTCTCAGCATCTGTAACGATCCTCCCAAGGAAGACGGGGCTAGTGTTCCACCCCTACCCAGAAGACACCAGGTCACCACTTCCCTACAAGTGGCAAATGTTAGCGCAGCCCAAGGCTACCTTTAAGACTTTTTGCAATTATAGCATATAGTTCATTCAAAGCAAGATCTTTGAAAGACACTGCAATGAAGGCTTTAACTCTTCTCACTATTTAACTTAATCTCATTTAACAGCCCACCATTCAACACTGGTGGTGTTTGTGATTCTGAAGGACGCCCCATACACCAGCTACCCCTCTCCTGTCTGTGTCATCTGAAAATCTGAGACGGATGCTTGCCATGGCCTCAGTCGTTAACCAAAATGCTGCAAAGGAAATAACCATGAATGGAGCCTATCATTATGCCTTTGAGTAATCATGCTCTTTTCAGTAACAATCTACTTACTAATAATCTTTGGGCATGACTGCTCAACCACTTACATATACACCTACTTCCAAATCATATTCAAGTGGCTTTTTGTTAAATACTTTGATAAAATGAAAGTGCTTCTTCCATATTTCCGGAATATAAGAAAATGATATAAAGTTAATTTGGTATGACCTTTTTTACTAAGCCTATGCTGGTTTCTATACTAAGTTCTTTTCCAAGTGCTTATAAATCCTCCTCTTGATAATCCCATTATGAATCTTATTCAGCAACAATGCAGTCTGCTGTTTCTACTCCGCGCTGTTAATGCCTCAGATTTCTGACAGCAGTTTGTCATCCCATATACAAATTTTAAGTACCCCAAACTGAACTTTTTGCAGGCCAGTAGATAAAATCATTATCCACGGTAAATGTTCTCTTAAAATCTAATTACATGTGTTGCTTTTCAATTTCATTTTATTAATCTTCATTCTTTTTTCTTTTAAAGATTTTATTGGGGAATTGGGGAAGGGGAACAGACAAGTTGCTGTCCTTTTGTTCTTCAGTCTAGTTGTGGAGGACGTCGCTTCACTGGCCCATGTTGGTATTATCATTGTGCTCTTTCCGGGTGAGGCAGTTGCTCACCGGCCATTGGACAGTCACTCTTAGGGGTCACAGCAGCTCATGCCTGCTGCCAGCCAGCCCCACTGCAACCTACGCCAACACTTGCGACTCACACACGGCAGCCCAGCTCTAGTTGGAGCTGTTGTTCACCATCTTAGCTGTAGAAGGCGCAGCATCACTGGCCCGAATGTGGGATCCAAACTGGGGCCCTGCTGCTCAGAGCTGGCGTGCCAAGCCAACTCCTAACCAATGTGCCACTCTGCTGGCCCTAATCTTCATTCTTAAGGTGATTCTCTTTGACAGGGAAGAATCTGACATTTAATAGGTTTTCTGAGGGTATTATTTGTAGATTTTTATACCAGTGTCCGTAAGTAGTACGCCTCAGCCTCCTTTGCTTTGCAGCCTAGGTCAAAGGTTGAGGCTCTTAGCAATCCTTCATATGTCTTGGTCTAGGCTCTTTGAAATCATGGTATGATTTTAAATCTGAATTCAAACCATATTCTATGCTCATTTCTGACAGCAAAAGATGAATAAGAAGTGCGGTGGTGGTGGTGATAGCTGAAGGGTATGGGGTTTCTTTTTGAGATGATGAAATGTTCTAAAATTGACTGTGGTTATGGTTGCACATTATCTGTGAATAAACTAAAAACCACTGAATTATACACTTTAAATGGGTGAATTATATATGTGAGTTATGTCTCAATACAGCTGTTTAAAAAAAATAGTGAGTTGAGAAGCAAGGAAATAGAAAGCTACTAATGGTACTTCTGAGATGAACAGCAGCCTGGATTCACAGGTCCCTTTCAGAAGGTGACACTATTGTCAACATTACCAATGGGGAGGCCACACCAATGGAATTCCTTCATTTGCGAACCATTATATATTCATCGACCCATGTTAATCCTCCTCGCTTCTGGATTACACTCATGTCCTGCCTTCTCAGGAACTCATCTGTCTGTTATCTCATCTCCTTCTAATATAGTCAAGTCCCCTCTCACTTGATATTTTCCCCCCATCAGTTTTAAACATGATCAAGACTCCCATTAACAAAATCAAATAAACGCTCCCTTGCCTCCATAACCCACTCCGAGCTACTGCCCACCACAATTAAGCCTCTAAAACATCGACCTGGGTTTGCAGTAATCCACATCTCTTTCCTGAAGCCCAATCCATGTGGCTCCTACA